GTTTCCCTATATGGAATGTACATTTTTAATAGGACTTATGACTTTCTTTCAAAAAGTTTTCCATTTTCCATACAGGCCAGATATGTATGATTTGTTCTGTTTTGTCAGCTTGTTTTACCTGAGTGATGGATGTCTGCAGCTCCCGCAGTTATGATGGAGCCTCTTTGCTGTTTTTCTGGTCAGTGCTACATGTTCCTTTGTCTTCATAATGTTGTTTGTTCTCTGACAAATAGTGCAGCTTATAAAGCTAGACTATATTTACTACTTCTAGTCATAGTAGACTTGATTACAAACGCATAAAAGGCTTGTAAGAACAATGTGTATCATTTGCCTCCAGTTTATGTTAAGTAACTTTATATGTCACTTTAACTGCCAATAAAATCCAACAAATTTTCCATATTTATAATATGACGTATGTGACATGAATGTGAAAATGTTCAAGGGATATAAACATCTCTGCAAAGTTCTCTGCATCTTCCAGCTTCAGGTCCCAAACAACACGCAATGTTTTTATTCCATGTTACTTTAATTTTCAAGTTAATGTATTCATCACATTAGAAAAAAAACAAAAGAATTTGATATATTAAATGTCTGGTTGATGATCACAAAATAAAAGGTGTGTAAAATCTGAGGTTGGTTTAGTTCCAAATCTACCCTAAGAAAATAGATTTCTCCAAGCCATCTTCCACTTTGGTGTACTCCAGGTGGGATTTGAAGAACTGGCTTTTATACCGAGGGCTGTTACGGATGTATTCAAGGTAGTCAGGGGTTCCAGGGCAAATGACGTTATCGGCCAACAGGATGCTGCCTTTCCTCAGGAGACCACACTCCTGGTATAAGAAAAGCAAACGGTTTGTTTTTGTTTTTTCTTTTTTTGCAAAGAAAAAGAAATGAGTTCAATCTGTACAAAAGTTTCAGAACAAATGTACCTCCATCAGTTTTGTGTCAGGAAGGTAGCGATCCTTCCAGTGGTCCAAGAAAACCAAATCAAATGTTTTTATGCCAAACATCTCCTTCATTTTGGGGATAAAGTCACCAGATGCTCCTTCAACTAGTTCAACCTAAAAAAAAAAAAAAAGAAAACAATATGTAAACTCCAAAGCTGATGGGTTCATTCCTATGGGTTACCTCAGGTGGCAGGTTTTACCTTATCTTCCAGTCCTGCCCAGGCAATCACTTGGCGAGCTATTGCAGCATTGCCTGGATTAAATTCAAGGGTGATGAGCTTAGCCTGAGGAGGAAGCAGGCTGGCGATGCGCACAGTCGAGTAGCCACAGTAGGTTCCCAGCTCAAGCACCGTCTCTGGGTTTACTTCAGTCACCACAGAGTCCAGAATGCAACCTGAGGTCATTAGAGGGACCATAACGTCACAAAGGCCAAGTTAGAATAAATATTTCTGTCATGAATGAACAGTCATAAACTTGAAAGTTACTACCTTTCTCATCCCCCACATTCATGGCCCACTCCTTCTGCCTGCAGAACTGATCAATGGCTTTAACCACGCTGCGAGGGTCTCCTCTTGTGGCATTCTTCTGTACTGCAGCCAACATCCGCTGCAGGGAGCAAGAATTAAAAAAAAACAATAACAGGATCACTTTCACTTCCCAAAGGTCAATAAAGTTATGTTATTCCTGCAATCCGAAGAGAATAATGAAATTAGCACAGATTTTTGTGTTTTTTAATTTAACCCTTTTTCCTCCCTTACTTTCCTTTTGTCTGAGGAAGACAGACCAGCAACAGCAGTACCAACATTAGGGGCTTGTTATTCAAGCAGGATGGTTCAGGTGAATATGATAACCTGAATATTTGCTGATTATTGTCATATTTATTCAGCAGCTGGTATCAAACGATTTGATAGCAGCTGCAGAATAAACCAAAGTTTGTTGTCAAATCAGCTAACCTCCTCTGTAAGGTGCATATGAGTTCCATACTGGCTTGTTAACTAGTTCCTAGGTTATGTATATATATACATTTCCAAAATGACGTTTTAAAAAAAGTGTTTATTCATGGATAATCATTTAGTCGTTAAAACCAAGACTCTTTCAGACTGAGTGTCTGATTTTTGAGCTATGTCAATATAAATAACCCAATAAAGCTAATATTTAAGGTTAAGTGTACTGATCTGACATAAAAAAATACATATCATAACCAAACAAATGTTATATTAAATTGTATAATCCTAATTAAATAAACTAATTTGATGAAGAGAGCATTAAAAAGGAAGGGGCTGCTTCTATAAAAAGGTTGGAATTTTGTTGAAGAAAGAAAGTCAATGACGGATTGTTGTTTTGTTACATTTAACACGTCACATTATCAGCACTTAGGTGGCCTTTGACCTGTTAAATTCAGCCCATTAGTTCTATAGTGTTTTCCTTTTTTGTTAAAAATGAATATTTTTGCTAAAAAAAAATCTGTGCTTAATCAATATTTATTAAGATGCTAAATTCAAATGACATCACTTTCTTTTGTTTGTTTGTTTTTGCTGATTAGGACTTTTTTTTGGCTATAAACCCACTTTACCCTCTAAGTTCAGGTTATAAGTGACCTTTTCCTTCAGCTATCTTTTACTCAAAAACCTTTTATTGGGCCTCATGACATACTGCAGGAACTATCAGCAGGAAAATATTATTTTGCTTCCACTTTTATGCATTTTTTGTTCTCTTGCACTTGTTTATAAATTAAATACAGCCACCTGAATAAGCAGTATGTATGACTTGGTAAAATACAGCTGAACATAAATGCCTACTTAAAAGCTGCACAATACAGACATTCCTGGTCCCTTGAGGTTAAGATCCATGATGGTTAGGGATTCCTTGAGTCTTCATTTCAAAAGCCTGAACTGAATTAATTTCGATAAGAATTTACACTACTTTAAAAAAAAAAACACTTTGTTGTTCTTTATTTGGCCTTGTGCAACTTGATTTTCACTAATGTTGTGCATAATTTATGTACACACTAATAATTCAGGGTTCTGCTAAGCATTTATCCCTGCGCGATGTATAAAATAATAACTTTTAGAGCAAAGGTATTTGAGGCTTCAGAGGTCAATACACATAGAAGCGGAAATAAAGACATGTTCATTGACCACCTGAGTTTTTAAAAAAAACAACAATCATATTCTTCAGAACAGAGGTAATCGAGAATTTATATACAGGGATGCTTCACTATGATTGTAACTTAGTCCCAAGATGACACTTTAATTCAAAAGCCCTTATTTATAAGTTAAAGGAAATTATTTTGTAAACTAACAAAAGGATTTCTTTCCATGGGCATTTAAAACCCAAAGTCTAATGCAAGAACAAATTGACTTCTTAGTCAGTTCGTTCTTACGTTTAAAATAATTCAATATAAGACTTTGAACTTTAAAAAGATTGGGCAAATTATTCAGCCCAGGATATACTTTATTTGCTCGACATTTGATTCAAATGGTTCCAACGGTTAAAGTTTCTTCCTTATGTGCTCAGCAACACTTTATACCTAAACTTTATGCAACCGTGTCAAAAGATAATTTTTTCTTCCTTCTGTTTTCTAACTAAAACTGTAAGGTTTCAATAAGGATTAGGTGAACTTTGTTCTTGTTTGGTACCACATGCTTACGGTAGGAGGATTAAAGTTAGCTTTGGCCTTTTTCTTTATATTCCTCGCCTCTATTTTATGTTTTAATAAAATGTCTATTAAACTGGTATCAACTTTTTTTTTTGCATCCAACAAGGCCAGTAATAATCTTGGAAGGTTTTTTTTTTTACTTTTACAGGGTTCATTGTATTTTATGTACTTAAGAGGCAGGAATTTCAGCTGGAAGTTAGGATAATACATTTCACAGCATTGCACCAATATCATTCTAGCCTGGATTGTTTATACCGACCAGATTGGGAGTAAGGTTTCATGCTCTTAATGCTAGGTTATGAGCATTAAGAAGGCTCAAATGACAAACAGCAGGCTCAGCAGATCTGTGTAGTTTTGCTAAGCCTGCTGTGCTTAGAAATGTTTTCTTAACTAACAGGAGGTGATCTGAGCACAGCCTCTTCCTGCTGTAGCTCTACCAACTTTATGCCATCGATAATCTTGACACAGTGAGATTTTTTTTGCCACAACTTAAAAGTTTTTTTTTTACTTTCTTTGTTTGCCTCATATTTTATCATCTTGGCTTGCTATCTGCTACAAAGTCGTTTTAGCTGCAAGGGATGTTTTTAGATCATTCAGAATAAACGCTAGTGACCCTGATGATCAATATTACCAATAATGGGTCGGTGCTCATTTTACCCATTAGATAGATTTTTCCATGGAGGATTTGCTCACATGTTGGCCTTAATGTATGTGCCTTGAAAAAAAAATGTTTTTGTCTTTTTTTGTTGTGAAATAAAATGTAAAAAATATGATAAAGGTTAATGCATTTTCTTTAGATTTTATGTCCAAACCCAACAAAATGTATTTGTGAAGTGTTACAAAAAGCCTACGGCCAGTTTTTACTAAGAGGACCTTAAGAGGAGTGACATCCGGGAAAACTTTATGCTGAAGCAGCTGAATGAAATCCAGCGCATATGGAGGTCACTGAACCCTGCAGTCAGTGACTCGATGCAATCAGCTGGTTCTCCTTAGATAGACAACTTTTAACCAATCCGACTGCATGATCCAATTTATTTCTTTTAAAGTTTGGATGACATGTACTGTAAATTGGTGCTATATACAGAAATAGAGCTGAATAGTAACATAGAATCAACTAGTGTACTATTAGATCTCAGTATAAATCCAACTGTTTTTAAAATCTTTTAAGCTGTGTTAAAGAACACTGGTGAACAAAATGCAGATTGAACAGGTAACAAACCAAAAAGAGACATTTCTAGCAGGTTAAACTGGCAAAATAATGCATAGTGAACTCTGTTCAAACCATGCTATGATACCTAGTATGCATGAGGCAGAACTGAAACTATACCAACACATGACCAAAACTCCATAGCTCTGGTGGAGGAGATAATTGAAAAGACATCTATTAATTGTTTGCTCCATAAAACTGGCAAATATCAAAAAAGGCAGGAGCAATTCCAATGTTAACCAAAGATAACCTTGATCATTCCTTTTCAAATTCACCACAGTTCGAGCAAAGGGCATCGCAAACATACTGAAGAACATGCTCTCATGGATGAGACTGAAATTGAACTCTTTTGTCAACATGCAGAATTTAATGAATTAGACCAAGCACACATTGCCCCTAAACACTCCTCTTTCAGTGGTGAAACCTGTGGTGGCAGCATCATCCTGTGGTGCTGCCTGTCTTCAGCAGGGATGTAATAGCTGATGGGTCACTGGGAAGACGAATGTAGCTAAATACAAATTATTCTTGCAAGAAACACTATTATGTCAGAGAACATTTGATAATAAGGACAGGATTTCATCTCCCATTCTAGACCTGAATACAAGAATCAGAAAAAAAAAAGACTTCAGCATTTGTGTTCTAACACTTTATCAATCCGTTTTCATTAAGCTTTTAAGATTTAACAAAGAGGAATGGGGTACAATTTGAGTCAAATGGTTTAAACTGTTGAGATTAATTGTTTTCCTTTCACTTAAAGTTCAAAGAGTATTTTTTTCAAGGCACTTTATTTTTAAATAATGAGATGATTGGATAAAAACATGAGATAGGTCATTTGGAGTAGTCAGTGAATGGATGTGAATGCAAACTGCTTCATTAATATTATTTACACACTTATTTAATGTAGTGTTTCTCATGCCTCTGATTATATGAGTTTATTGTTTTAGCTGAGCTTGTGATAGGCGGGTGTTAAGCAACAGCACACCTGAGGACGCGTAGTCTGGGTCAGTGTATTCAGCAGTCCCTCCACAATCCCATCATGCCAAATAAGCGCCAGTCCTGCATGATACTGCACAACAGTAGGGATCACCCATCTGTACAGTGCATAGAGCAGGGCAGCCCCACCGGTGCAACTGTAAAGGAGAGTGAGCAACATCCTGCAAACAAGAAAGAGATCAAATAAATCAATAAGGAATTATTATAGCATGCAGTGCCGCATTATTGAAGGAGACAGTGATAAGCAAAGCGGAGACACCATGCAAACGTCCACAGGAGACAGATCAAAGTGCGCTCCTGTCTCCCCTTACCCTACCTGTCCCTTTGTATTTAGATAATGAGATGGGTGTTTACTGTGCAGCGTACAATACAGTAGCTGCTCCTGTCTTCCAGCTCCTGCTGCACCCCCCACATCCAAGCTGAACACCCACACCCAGACATAATATGATGGTATCGCTATAAAGAAATGATCTAATATCAGCTTCAGTCAACTGGGACAAAACTGGGCTTTATAAGCAGCTTTCTCACTTTCAGAAGCTGTTTATCTGTATGGAGAGCCTGTGCAAAGATAAAACAGGGAAGAGAGAGGAGAAAAGCACAGCTTGAATCTTAAATAGAACTCACTCGCTGTGAAAGCAGGGAGGAGAGCTGCTGAAAAAGGGCTACCTTGAAGTAATAATGCAGCTGTGAAAGCTCCATGGTAGTTGAGGTAATCCCTTCTGATTTAGAGTTGGAGTTGCATGGCAACAGGCTGGAGGTTAAGAGCTGTGTCACCAAAGCCAAAGAACTGAGACTTTAACCTTTACTCAGGCTTCCTCTGAACATACCAAACAAAACAAAAAAAAAACAGAACTGGTAAATTTTAACAACTAAAAGAGAAAGCTGGCCAAATTTTTAAATATCAACCTTTATGTAGAGGTTAATCTACAACTGCTCCAAAATAAAGCAATAAAACAGCTAAAGTGACATTTTGAGGTGCATTAAAGACCACAATGCTTGTGCAACAGGATTGCAAGATGACATGTTATCTTTAATATGCACAACACCACAAGCACACATTTCTAAATGCAGAAGGCATGCATCAGGGTTGAACTATGGTACCCTTTAAGCAAAACAGAAACAACAGGAACAAAGTATTTTTGTTATTTATGACTTCACTAATGTCTGGTAAAGGATCTAGAAGACTTACACGTGGATGCAGGTTGTATTCCCCGTCCGCTTCTCACCTCTCGTTGCTGCTTGAGGAAAATGTGAGTTTTTTCAGACGCCGGACATATGCCTGCACATGAAACTAACTCCTCCCTCTTTTTCCTTCCATCCCCCTACACACAGAGCTGTGCTGAATGCATGCAAGGAATGTGCAGCCTCCTGAAATCTCCACAGTCAACATGGTCACACCCGCTCCTCAGCTACAAAAAAAAAAAAAGAAGTAATTTTTGCTCAACTGTCAACAACTCTTATCCTTTATTTGAAAAGCAAATCTTTTTGAGTTTAGATAACCTGTTTCTACCTATGTGGGTTTACTGGTTACTGTGACAGACTTCTGTTTCCATTCTACTGTAATTTATAAACCCAATTTTAATTTTCTTTGGAACCACTAAGCAACCCCCTAAAGGCTTTTTGGATAGTTTGGGGTAATTGATTTCTACTTTCAAATGGTTTACATCTATGGTTTAACTCAGCTCTTTCAGCAGAGTTAACAATGATTGGTTATGGAACTAAAATCAACCTCTGATATCAGTTCATCGAAACTCCAACATGAAAACCAACATTGGTTATAAGTTCTTACATTTTATTGAAAAAGTACCATATTATAAAGAAGGAAGGAACATTTAGAATATGGGAAATGTGAGATATTGCAATTTCAAAGGATCAAACAACCGATGTAATAAAAAAGTAAAACTTGGGTGAGAGTTTTTCCCGCTGCGAGCACGGCTGATTTAACGCTGTCTGCTGTTCTCTCAAAGGCATGAAGCTGCTGTCTTTAGGAGGTAATCCAGGGATGTTTCAAACACTCAGCAGCTGTGGCTCTTTTCTGAGGCTGCAGTTCCAACATGGTGAGGAGAAAGGAGCTGAACTGGAGAGCTTCCTCTTTGGGCCATTCGTACTTATCCAGCAGGATCTCCAATAAGCTCCATGGTTTCAGTTTTGAGATGTGCCGCAGTTGTCCTAAGAAGAGAAAAAAAATATCTGTTAATGTTATTATTTACAGTATATGAGAAATAACTAGTGCTCCCGCACACAAATGTCCAGATTTTGTACATTTCTATTAACTAACTTTACCTTTTCTGTTGAAGAATTGTTTGGATTTTCTCCCAGAGAGAGCAAACTGGGTTTGAAGAGGTCCAAGCAGCTCAATTATATGAGCAATGTGATCTAAGGACATGGAAACATAGAGCTTATAATTTATCTCGATCTGAATAGAGCAATGTCAGCTTTGAACACACCTTCCTCTCGGGAGAATGAGGCTCCAGACTGGGGGTCAAACAAGTAGTCTCCTGTAGCCAGCTCAAAAGCCTTCAGGGCACAAACAGGGACAATAAAATGAAAAGATCTGGCAATTCTGGAATAGAACAAAACAAAAATACCTGAACGGAGAAAAGGAAGCTCACCATGCAGGCAGTACTCCAAATGTCAGCTGCAGTGTCATACTCTGAACCAATCAGTACCTCAATGGAGCGGTACTGGCATGTCTGAATATCTTCAGTGAAGTGTTTGTGCTGATAAAAAAAAAAAAAATCAAAAAACTTAAATATGAATCTATAATCTGTACTGTACATCTGACTATCAAGGGTGAACTCAAAACCATGATCTGAGTGTTTCTTTTTTTCTGTTTCCAGATTTAATTATTGATTTTATTTAATTTTAATCATAATTTCTCAAAGTCAGATGATCAATCTGAAGTTAGTAAAGTCAGTCTATCAGTGTTCAACAGAAACGTAGAAGGTTTTTATAGTCTAGAGCTAATGGTGGGGGTAAACTGATATTTCTAATGCAATTTTTTGATCATTTTTTAAGTGACCTTCGTTTTTTATAGATATAATTTCCCAACCAGTATTGCTGCAATATAAAAAGAGCCTTATGTAAAGGATCTTTCAGGAGTTTTTTTTATGGTTAACAGATCCTAACTTCTACTACATAAAAGTTTAGGATTCCTCACTGCAAAAACGTTCTGAAAATGAAAATGTCTTAAAATAAATGTATTTACCCTTAATTTACGGTAAGTAGGAAAATAAGATGATCTGCCATTGGAATAAGCATCTTTACCCTAAGCTAGTTGGATATTATGCACTTGAAATAAGAGAGTGCAGTTATTTTTTCTTATTTATATAAGAAAAAAACAACTGCAATCAATGTAAATTGTCTTTGTTCCATTAGCAGTGTCTCCCTACCTGCTAAATTCAAGGAAAAATGTAGTTATTTTAAGAAAAAAATTACTTTCCAAGATTTACATTTTTTGCAGTGCAGGTTTTTGCAAATCATTTTTCAAATAAGCATAGTAAAACTAAACAGGGAAAATTAAAGTATTGATCAAAAGCCAGAGCATAGGTCTTAAAATATCCTTTGAATAATTTTGAATTATTAACAAATGTATATTTCATAAAGAACGCTAGTTACACTGAATAATTAATATGTAGGTATTGATTCTGTGTCTTGCTCAATTTCTTACCACCCAGCAGGCATTTCCCAGGTCTGCAATCTTCACAACAATCTTGTCAGCATTCTGAGGCTTTAGAAGGTCTAAAGCTACATCTATGTCACTGGTTCCTAAAATACAGAAAAACATTCAAAGGGCTTTAACATATTGGAGAATTCTATGGTAAAACATTGGCTAAGGAAAGGTAAATCATTTAAAAGTTAATTAAAGGTTGTCTCGACTAGATGTTTCCAAAAGAGAACCGAAGGATCATGAGAAGTCATGAGACTGACCTCTAGCTGAGGAGGCTGGAACCGGCTCGGTGTGTGAAGTTTGGGGGAATAACACAGACCTGGAGCCAGAGGCAGGAGCATCCATGCTAAAGTTTGGACATGAGCCCAGTGAGTGTCTGTAGCTGCGGGGGACACTGTCCACTCCATCTTCACACAGCAAAGTTTGTCTCCTTATCTTAAGGTTGAGGCCTTTGAGCTTTGAATTACAAGTGGACTGCTGTGTGCTTGAAACGGCACCAGCGTCTTCAGAAAAAGTCACAGTGAGTTTGTCTGATTTCAGCTCTGATGCAATCTTCTGTCCTCGACAGCTTTTGTCCTTCGCCGATAACCGCTTATTTTGGCTCCTGGAAACCTTGCTGGACTGTGACAGTGAGTTGGCAGAAATAAGTATCAGTTAATTACAATAATGAAGGATTAGTGAACTATCAACTTCATGGCAATTGAACACAGCAAATAGTATCTAGAAATAAGTAAAAATGTCTTAAATTGAGTGTATTTACTCTTAATTTGAGCAGGTAAATAAGATGAACTGCCAATGGAATTAGATTTTTTACTTTTAAAATAAGATAATTAGGAATTATGCACTCAAAATAAGACAATGCAATTGTTTTTTCTTATTTCAAATGTAAATGGTTTTGTTCCAATTGTAGAAAAGTGCACTTATAAGAAAAAATTACTTAAAGCAAACAATTCAAGCAAAATTAAGCAAATCCTGATATGTCTGAAATTATTGACTGATTCCCCAGTGATCGAAAAAAATGTATGTAGGATTGGAAACCTACTTCCTTGACCTTGTCCAGGGTTCTGTTAAACACATGGTTGCTAACCATCAAGTTGCAGTGAAACCACAACAACAGCTGCTAGAGGAACATTAAAATTCTTCTTGTCTTCTCAGGACACATCCACACATTAAGCAGAGAAAGCCATCCAAGAATCTGATCTAACCCAGCATTATAAAAGCCTTCTCTTAAGTTCTCCTAATTTGGACAAAGAACAATAACTTTGAATTACCCATACCTTACTAACTGTAAACTTTATTATATCATTTCTGCTTGTTATCTACCATAGAGCAATAATTTATATATTTAGAGGTAAAAAGAAAAGAGCAAATATAGACATTACATTTTTGGCAAAGAATTATTCAGCAAAACTGGCTTAATCTCTCTTGGTAGTAAAAAAAAAAAATAACAGCAAATTGAATATTATGTATTCCCTAAATGTCCTGGAAATCCTGAAATAAATCTTTGTGCACTAGCAGATCATATCAGTAGATGAAAACCCTTAGATCAAATATATACTGATAGAAAAGTACACTATAGGGATGATCTACTAAGGGTTACTAAAGAATGGTATGAAAACTCCTCCTAGTCTACTAGCCAGCTGCACTTAGAGTTTGTGTCTTAAATCAGCAAAACAGATTGTGAAAACATGTTTTGCCTTCATGAGTAGGCAGAATATATGTTGATCATCAAAAATATATGGAGCAAATTTGCAGATGTGATCTTACTATCCACAATGCAATTTATCACACTGAAAAATATTCCAGGTGCATTTTCTGATTCTATATTTAGCATTTCACAGGGAAAACTGTAATCGTTGTGGCAAAGGGGAACTAAATTAGGAGTTAAATTAGATTACTGTTTACTGGGAAGACAGAGGTGGGTATCGTCCACACACCACTAACTATTGCAATCAAATATGCAGAGAATATTAACAAGAGTAGTAAAAACAACAACAAAAAAAACTGTTAAAAAGGGTGGTGAAGGAAACTGAAGGCTGCAGTTGGATCAAGCAGGATAGGAATAACAACAAGACCGGAAACAGCTGCCAGGAAATCGTGAGTAATTTTCATACTAGCAGTTTCTGAACTATGGTGGGGCCTAAAGCTGGAACATTATCCATTGCTTCTCACTAAAACCTCTGAGGGTTTAGCAGAAAAGCTTAATCTTAGTCTCATCTGAGGAGGTCTAGTGAAATATCCCTTTAGAATTTAGTTTATGCTGGAAACAGGAGAGTAAAAAAAAAGGCATTTTTGACATAGAGATCACGTTTAAAGACTGCTATTTAGACCTGCTGACTCCTACATGACAAGATTTGTTAAATAATCACCTATGATAAATCAATTTGACAAGTAGCTAAAAGGAAAAATCCATCAAATAGGTATGAATAATCTATGTTTTTTTGTCTTATGGCACAGAAAAACAAATTTAAAGCTTTTTATATGACTTGAGTTAAAAAACCACATGTAGGCAATGTTGCATTTATCAAAGATGAAGTATTTTACAGATAAATGTGTTTGTTTCATTCTCTCATGCAGACATAACACTGATGTGAAATAAGATAGGAACGTGATACAATTATCTAACATTTCATTGTTAAAATGTGTCTTTCTGTGTT